TTGGAAAGCAAAGATATAGAGAAAGAAATTCACTTTTTGCAATGCAAAAAGTGAGCGCCTCTTTCTGCTCTGATTTAAGACCTTTTTAAGGGCGAATTAAAACCTTTTAAGGCACAGAAACCCTGTATTACTTATTTTTTTTAAATCAGTATCAATAACTATCAGGTTTCCATTGTGACAACCTACCCCATAGAGTCTGACAACATGTTAACATCACAAAACCAGCTTTGCTAAAATTCTAGAGACTGTGATATTAATGATTATTAATGAAGTAATTTAGAAAAGCCTATTATACACGGTCAGTTAAAGTCTCTGTTGTCAGTTGTTCCTGCATTAATATTCTGTCAGCTTTGCTTTCTCACCAGCATCACAGCTCAGAGGATTACGTCTATTAAAATGTATTCATACTAGAAACATGACCTAGTCATTCCTTCCTGCAGATTTCTAAAAATTTATTACAACTTCTAAAAATTTTGCCAGGCTTAAAGAACAAGTCTAGATTGTTAAATCAGCCTATAATTAAGAACAGCCACTTTCAGTCTGGCTCTTTCTATTAATTTTGCTGCAGTACCTTTTACTGCCTTATAGAACATTCATTATAATTCTATGCAAGTAAATTTGAATCTAATTATGGCCAAAGCTCTTTTACAGCAGCCTCCATAAGTTAATAACTCCTTGATAAACAACAAAGGGAACAAACAAACCACTGCCAGATGGTGCAAAACAAGTGTAAAGAATGTTTTGGCTTGATGAGAAAAAGCTTTTAACTCTTGCAATTAAAGTAATCACAAGATGGAAAACTGAAAACTTCCATCCAGGCCATTAGCCTTCAACACTCTTCAATAACTAAGATCTCCCATAAACTTCATCTTCCATTACGACAGTCTGTCCACTGCTCTGTCCTCCACACACTGCATGTTATGTATCAGCTAACCTACTTTTACACTCACATTTAAATCACGTCAAAGCACTCAATTAGTTGTAACGTTTCTGAATGCCTATAATTCACTCAGTCACTTTCGATGCTGCCATGTAAATGAATAGTCGTCGTTAAACTCCACTCAGTAACGGTCTGAATATGACTATTGATAATATAGGTGTGTGAAAACATTAACTGTGTTGATATAAGGACGTGACCTCCGGTAATAAAGGTGTGCATGTTGACATGGTTTGAATGAATAAAACTCTGGTCTACAGCTTCTATTAGAAATCTTTGGAAATGAATGGATAAAATATTCCATCCATGCCTCGAGATCTTCATCACAACCATAACTATCGTTCTGTCCTCGTTGATATTCAAATTGCATTTATTTAATACAATTCAGACACTACATTGGAGTTCCTCTGTCTTGGCCCTGAATACTGATGGAAAATCTTTGACCAAAAATCTTTAATAATTTCTCTGAATGTAGTGTCAGAAATTTGCTGACTTGAAAAGCCACACAAAACAAATAATACATGAGGAAAACTGGCCCAAGGCCACATCGGACTCCCAGTATTTGTGAAGTGCATCTGCTTCACTTTCAAGATTTCATATGAAGCCACCAAACAAAACTCAACACACGCTGCTTAAAAATTAATACAATCCCAAACCCTGGAGCCAACTGCATCCCATAGAGCCTCAGCTCTTTAAATTTACTGTTTAAAAACCGGTAGGATTTGCTTTATTTCACTAAACAACCTGACTGCACAAAATGGGCTATCCATTATTTGGATGAATATGTGATTGTGAATGATTTATAAATATGCATTAAATAAGACTACTATTATATATATATATATATATACCTATTTCTTAAGTTTTATTTAATACATTAATAGAACAAAAGGTTGAACTTAAATATCACATTAAATCAAAACCGGGGTTTTAGAGAGTGTGGCTTTTTATTTTATCTGTAAACTTTGAGGTCATAAATATTCTATAGTGCTAAAAGCCAAAAAAAATAAATAAAATCAATTTTTAGCAAATATATATTTTATAATTTAAAATGTCTCTCTTCTATTTAATATCATCTCCTAGTCATGGGCATATAAATGCCATACAGTAAAGTGCTCTTTATAATGTGAATTGTAACAGCAATTAGCATGCTTAATGTTAATAAAGCATAAGACAACAGGTAGGAGAAACATATTTTTTAATATTCCCTGCCCCAACTTTTTTTTTCAATAGGAAATTTGTGATTTTTTTTTAAGGAAATATAACATACAGGAAAACCCCTAGGAAGCCAGCTAGAAAGAGCGAGATGTCCATACAGAGAGAGCAGTAATCAGAGTAAACCCATAATACTGCAGGTCAGAGAGCCCATTTCCCATTTCAGCTTGTCCACTCATTTGCCTAGAAAAACCTACAACTGGGACCGGAGGCTTCACTCAGCTCACAAACAAGAGCTTATTTAAAAACATGGCCAGCAACAGCCAGAAAAAAAAAAACAATAATAATAATCAGTGAGTGCCTCTAGGGAAATTCAGTTTAGGATCACCTTTGATCTCTTCTCTGTGTGCGGTGACAAATATCCATGTGTGCTTGGATGGGTCTATAGCAAATAACCTCTAAAATGTCTGTCTTCTAAAAACAGTCACCATGAGCTATACACAGATAAGTTACTACACATCTTAGTGCATTACAGTATGCAGATAAACACTGATGAGGTACACAGACTGACAGGCAAACATGACTATGAAAAGGGAAACATGACATCTCCACTACTTGTCTCCTTAGCTATTTGTAACAGTAACAGTCTTGTCAGAATTGTCTTATAGTTTGAAGTTGAGAAATTAACCACACCCTTCCTTCGATTCTGGCTACTATTGCATTTCTGCACTTTACCGACAACTGACACAAAACAGCATCTATAATAATGTCTCTGAATTCTTAAAAACATATTTTTTGTGAATCCTTTGGACAACTTTAAAGGTGATTTTCTCAGTATTATGATTTTTTTTGCACCCTCAGATTCCAGATTTTCAAATAGTTGTATCTCGGCCAAATGTTGCCCTATCCTAATAAACCACACATCAATGGAAAGCTTATTTATTCAGCTTACAGATGATGTATAAATCTCAATTTAAAAAAATTGACCCTTATGACTGGTTTTGTGGTCCCGGGTCATTCATATATATATATATATATCATTTCTTTTGTCTTTAGCTGAGATAAATGATAATTGCACTTTTTATCCATTTACCCATTTTCTAGATCAATTTATTGATTCATGTTTGGCTGAGTAATCAAGTGAAACTCTAATTAAATTCAAATTCTGCTTACAGAGCAGTTTGCCATAAATATGTATGTTTAAAAATCTAAATCTATACACATATATACAATAATCAATACCTTTAATAATCTATAATAATCATGAGCAATGAATTTGTAATGTGAAAAATCTGCAGTCTGCAGTATTTGATTATAATCTGAGCGGTCCCTGACACACTTCTCACACTACACTCTTAAAATAAAGGTTCCAAAGGGGTGGTTTCACAGTGATGCCACAGAAGAACAATTTTGTCTTCCCCAAAGAACCTTAAAGCGAACGGTTCTCAAAGGAATATTTTAATAATCTAAAAAAACCTTTTCCACTATTAAGAACCTTTTTGTGCAATGGAAAGATTCTGTAGATGTTAAAGCTTCCTCATGGAACCATAGATGCCAATAAAAAAATGGTCCCAGAGGAGAACTGGTGCCCCGACTGAGCCTTGTTTCTCCCAAGGTTTGTTTTTCTTCTCCAATTGGGGCTTAAAAGACAATTAATATTCATAAAATATTATCAATCTGACTCTACTGATACTATCAGATGAGAACAAAAACCTGAAATAAATTGAGCTGGATAATGACACTGCTGTCTTCTGTAGTGCTGCTTTTGAAGTTAAAATTGATGAACTTTTGCAACATTGACACTGTAACTGAACTGAATTTAATCGACACTGAATCAAGCTGAATAATGACACTATTGTCTTCCGCAGAGCTGCTTTTTTAGCTACATTTAATTTATTTCATAATTGATACAATACAATTACAACTTTACAACATTGACACAGTTACTGAACTAAGTTTTTCTAAATTAACAGATATTTTTCTTTTTATTACTGTGAAGCTGTTTTGAAACAATCTGTGTGACTTGTGACTTGACTATTCAGCCTGAAAATACATGAGCAATTCTGGAAATACAGGAACTTAAATACCCGGTATTATGTGCCAGGTATATCAGAAGTATAAAAAATATCAGAAGTACTGTGGCGGTAACATGGTACTTTGATATACACAATGGTATTTAAGTGTTTACTGAAATATTTGGCATGCCATGGTAAAATATCAAAAATAAATAAATAAATAAATAACACTTGATTTTTTTATCATAAATATCACATAGTTTTGATACTATGTGATTTTTATGATACTCCAAGGTGCTTCCAAGATGACCATGATATTATTTACAAAATAGCACCATAGTACCATGTCCAAAAATCAATATATGTGTAAATACCTCAGTAGAACAGTGCTCCGCAAATTTGACTGTACAGAACACAATCACACAGACAATCATAGTTAAATCACACAAAAATGACCATTTTCACCTGCTTAAGACACCAATGCTAAAGCACAGATGTCAAATCTCCCCTCTGATGTTATTGCTGTTATTTTGTGATTTGCTCAGTCATGGCTTGATACGTGAGAAGGCTTTAGTGTCTTCTGAGAACACTCCCATCTTCAAAACGAAGCAATACACAAACATTTATCGCTGAGCAACATTAATTACTTTTTGCCCAATTCGCTATTATATATTTGCAAAGGGCGGGTCGTTACTGTTACCTACTCCCTGGATCACTGACGTCCTTAAAAGCAGCGTACTGCGACATAAACCACGACATATTTTTCCTTAAAACTATTAAAAGTAAACTAATCTGTCATATCAACACAAGCATTATAAAAGTTTAGTTGAAAATACTCCCTACCAATCAAAACATCAATGCAATGCGTAAACTGCGTGTTTTCGCAGCCCTACCTGCATAGACAGCAGCAGCAGCATCACTCGGAGAGAGTAAAGGTGTGATATTGAGGATGGATGTGGCTTATAACATAAGAATATCTGCGACGAGGTCTAACGAAGGCTTTTCTTGCAACTGCAAGACCTGTCCTTGTCATTTCGCCTTCTTCTTAATCAGTTTTCACGCGAGTGTTTTGCTCCCCCACCTGCACAGCATCCGACGCCGCGCAGTGAGTCTGCATCTAGGGCATGTATTTGGCAGGAAAGCAGGTTGGTAATGCCTACAGCGCAAGCGTATTCCGAGGGCGCCATTCAATAGCAGAGCACTATTTTGCAAAAACGCCGAACCTCTGTGGACCACAGAGAGAGAAGGGAGTGCGTTTACAATCATCAATTGTGGCACTTCAACCTCCGTAACGGAGATTACGTGAAATCTGTGTCCAGCAGCTTTAAGGTGAGGCTAATTGATTTTCACACTCCTACATAAACACACACTAATTATTGGCATGCTTTTCGTAAACCGGTGTATTCAGAAGCTATGTTTACATGCACCAAAATACAGTATTCAGTTTATAATCGGACTGATGGCTCAACCGGACTGAATAGCCTTCATGTAGCCTAGCCTAAACACCTCAATCGATCCGAACGAAAAAAAAAATGTGTATGTTTATATGCCGTATGTTTTACATCTCATACTTATGCTGCGTTCAAGTCCTCCTGTACTTACGAGTTGACAAGTCGTAATAACGACAGGGTTGGAGCTGAACTCTGCAGGACTGCGGCTCTCTAGGACCGAACTTGCCTACCCCTGGGCTAGCCTAATGAAAAAGAGGCAGTCTTTACCATGGAACGCGCTGTATAACGGTCCTAGATCATCTAATCTTTGCCAATTCACAACTTTCAAAACTATTTTATGGAGTTTTTGTCTACTGAAAGCTTTTTGGAAAGAAATTTTGTGAGCTGAACAATGTTGCCATCCCTGATCACACTTACATCATGGAGACGTCTATTTGACGTCTGCATTTACATCTGCAAGACGTATTTTTTAGTGTTTGCTCATCTGCAATATGACGTTTCCTATCAGATGTCAATTAGACGTTTAGAAAATGTCTAAGATATTTATGATTTTCAAATGTATGTAAAACTGAGATCTTAAAGACGTTTATCAGATGTTTGTACACAGCAGATGCTTTCCAGATGAAGCGATCTTTAACAGACATCTTGCAGACATACATGTGCTATCTGGGATGAATGGACTGCACTTCTCTTCCTCACTGCCTCGTTTTCGTTTCTGTCAAAATTTAAATATGGTAGTTGAATGAATGTTTTGCCATATTTGTTCCATTATTTTGAACCATATGCATTCTATATTGATCAAACAAGAGTTGGTGTTGTAAATTTAAAAAAAAAAACGAATCATCTCCTTTGTGAACTAAACTCAACAAAACATCTTGTTCATGAAAGAGGTACGGATGGCTGACTGAACCAGAGTTGACATCCCAGCAAACACAGAACATTCCCCTAATGTTAGCATAGGGTTCTCATTTGGTTATTTTTGGGAACCTAACGTTTCTATTTTTTTCTGTAGGTTCTTTTTTGTAAACCAAAAACGAACATTCCCAGAGCAAAAATTGTTAGCTGGAATGTTGTTCATTTTAGTTGTTAATCAGAGTCATTCGTAATAAGCAGAGAAAGGGGTATCACGAAATCAAACACACAGGATTGTGGGATATCATAATCAGCGATGGATACATATGCTGCCTTCAAAAATTGTGTTCCCCAAAAGCACTGTTAGCCAACTATGGTCACAAGTTCTGCTGAACTCTATTGGTAACGACGGAACTATAGTTGCTTTTGGGAAAGCACCCCAGATGAAGGTATCTAATTAGAAAGAATGTTTCACAATGATTGGATTCAGATGTGCCTTGTCTCCTTCCTACCTCCTCATACTGCCTCCAGAGGCAGCAGGTGTTTTGAAACGAATCGACTGAGTTTAGAATTTAGTCATTCTAATACCACACTCACTTGTTGCCACCTACAGGTGTAACCATAACCATAAATCTTTTTGGAGAAACGGATTCAAGTCACTGTTATTCTAGACATCAGAATTACCACCACTCTCAATAATGCACAAGCATAAGTTAGAAACTGAATTAGATGTAGGCATTTTTATGTCCTCTAATGAGGATGAGATTGATGCACTGCAAACGGCATGGATTTCGTATTGGATAACTAGTATACTAAACTTAACAGTTTAGGCCCTCACATTTCTTTTGTATTTTATCTGGTAACCGGCAGTTTCCACGCCAACGAAACATCGTCCTTTCTAATGTAAACAAACACTGTTCAGCCTGTCATCGGCAGGGAAAGCAATCATCACTATGAACGCACCTCATCATTGAGTGAATCTCATTGAAATACAATTATTTTTTTCATTACATTGTTCCTGTTTTACTGAACAAACCGCTTCCGCGACAAACGATGATAACATAACAGCGCGTAAAATGAACTCGCGTGTCATCTCTCACCTGTTCCGTTTACTGCAGTTTGCAGCGAGCTAACGGTCCACCCGATATGCGTCTGGATCCACCATCTTCATCGCCTGCCAGCCTGCCTTTCACTCAGTCTGTGGGCAAGCCCGACTCCTCCCATCAGAGACCGGCTAATCAAACACCACCGAACGCTGCCTAATTTCTCAATGAACGAGCTGCAGCTCTCGGCAAAACGTCAAGCGGTACATGCAATGCTGCTTTAAGTTCATAGTAAGAAATAACCTACAGAACCAAATCGGTATAAAAGCCCTTTCGATGGCATTAAATGAAACTGGTTACAAAATGACTGCCCAGCCCTCCGACTAAAGAAAGCTATACATATATAGAATAAAAAGAGGAAGCGAGCAATAAGCATTGGTAATAACTGAAATGTTTCCTCAACAAAACAGCATATTAGAATGATTTCTGAAGGATCATGTGAAACTAAAGACTGGAGCAATGATGGTGAAAATGTAGCTTTCCTTTGAACAAATGTAAGGGAGGTTAAAAAAGCTGCTAAACTCTTATAATATTATCATCTAAAAACAAGCACCTGTGCACACTCCTGTACTTATAAAGAGTGAAAAATGATAAAACGCTGTCAGTGCAGTTGCTAAACATTGCATTATACAGAGGAATGGTGTGGAGGAAAAGCTGGCTTTATTCTTGAAGGGAACCGTTCAGAATTTTGTGACGGACATCCGGTGATTTTGCTGCT